ATTTCCTTTAAATTTTATAAAATAATGCAATAAAGGGGCGACATGCAAAATTAATGTAATTTGGGTTAATCCTGTTTGTATATGAAAGGAAGCGCAATTGTTTTTTCGGTATAAAAATTTAAATAATTACAAAATTTTCAATTGGAACTTTTATTTATTTATTTTTTTTTTTTTTGTAATTGTCCTCTCACTCCGAAACTAACCAAGAATTTACTGTTATTTAAAATAAAAAGAAACAAACAAAAAAAAAAACAACAAAAAACGAAGGCATTATTTTATTAAATATAATACGTGGTAGATAACAATAACATATTTTTCTTATACCTGGCAATTACGAGAAGAAACTAAAATGTTCTCGGCACCACCCACTTCCGAATATCTGAGTAAATGATTAATCATCAGATTTTTTTGTGTGTGCGTGCGTGTTTTGAAGGGTTTCTTTTTTAAACTATGAAGAGTTTGGTATCTCTTCTTATATGTGGATATTTAATGTTACCTTCTGAATGGTTAAAGAAGAATATGGGTACTCATCATTTAAGAGAGGGGGGGGGCTAATTTTTTAGTGTTTCATAGCAAAGATGTTAAAAGAATGTGGTAACGTTTTCAAGTTGTGAGAGAAACATTTGTTTGAATACAGAATCCCAAATAAAACAGGATTTGTTGTTGGTGGTGAGGGGAATTTGAAACCAAAATAATATTTAAATGTCAGACACAGAATAAAATAAACTTTCTTTATTAAAGAAAAAAAAAAACGTTAGTAGTTGAAATTTTATAATTTTATTTAATTATTATTTTCAAGCAGATAAATTCCCCAATTTCTATGGGCTCAAATTTATAAAAGTTCCACAATTATTTTTAAGTAACAAATTACAACTGTTTAGAAAATTTGACTCATATTAAATGATTTTTTTAAAAAAATTTAATCCATACATTTTGGGAGCTTCTGTGAAAATTTCCTACAATTTTTATCTTCCCAATAATCTGTATAGTTTTTACTGTTCCAGATAAATATTTATAATTTTTCTTCCCTAATCAACAATTATTTGTTTCTGTTCCATGATATTTACTAAACACTCATTGTAGTTATTTAGTATTTACTATGTCAAAACAGCCTGGTTTTCCAGTGTTGTCAGCTAAAGTTGCTTTATACATCTGGTTGCACAAAGTCTCAAGGGATTTGTCTTACCTTCACTTTAGACTTCAATTTGATCTTAACTTTCTTTTATTGAATGTGTCTTGGGTATATATGCCTTTAGTCATCTACTTTGCTACAGTCTTGGCCACAGGAGAGTTTTATATCGAACTCACAGTACATAATTTTTTTAAAGCTAATATATTGAAATCCTTGTTTAAATCAACAACTTATTATTACCCTCCAGATCTTCTTACCTACTCAAATATTCTTTATTGAATAGAAAAGAAAAATTAAATATTAAAATATTCTTCAATGAAGCGGCATTTAAAATTTATGTATTGCCATCGCCAGCATTTAATTGCACTTGTGGAATGGGGGGCGGAGCCTCTGTAACTGGAAAGGGAGGGACATAATATAACTCCTCCCACTACATGACATCGCCAGGGTGAGTTGGGTATAACTGTTGATTCGAAGCTGTAAGAAGATTCTGACTTAGAAGGACTTCATATTTTTCTTAAAATGCAACAATTGGAAATTATTTTTTACCTTTGAAACAATACTTATTTTGTTTAATTTTGGCAAGAAAACAACAGAATAGATGCAAAATATTTGAAAATAAAAAAATATCTGAAAAATATAATTTTTTTGTATTTGGATTCTAAATTCGCATATTTTTGCAATGATGTTGCATTTGGTTTAAAAGGAAAAAAAAATAACCGAATCAAAAAAGCTCTTTACAAGACACGTAAAAATAAATATTCAGTTTTATACCTAATTCCAGTTTGATGTGTTAAGTACTCAAGTCCCGTTTTTTTTTATAGAGGGACGTTTTAAATTAAAAAGATAGGAGGAAAATGTTCACAAGATCCAAAAGTTAAATTTAATTAAATAACATTAATTAGCTTATATTGAATTCATTGAGTTTGGGGATTTTTATAAGCCAGAAACTTCACTTTTTAACTTCAGTCAATATAACTAAAATAAATATACTTTTTATTTTTATTTTAAGTTAGTAATTATTAAATAATTTCACCTGAACTTTGTCGTGCTTCTTAGTAAATAACGTTTTCTCTTTTAAGCCTAATTTCAAGCTTAAAATACAACCAAAATGAAAAATTTCCGTTATTTCCCCGTAAGTTAATGCTTGAAATATGTTTAATTTTAACTAATCTGACACTTGTCATGCTTGTAGGCTTCATAACAAGAATAAAAAAGAAAACAGAATGTAACTTTAGCTTTTTTTTTTTTTTACATTTTTTAACTTACGAAGTTTTAAAATGTTTTTTAATTTATATAATAAATAAAAACATTACCTTGTCTCTTCAAAAAGCAACAATCTTGTTTAAAAAAAGAAAGCATTTAAGATTAAATGAAAATAGTATTTGAATTTAAGTTAATGTTTTAAAAATGCAATATTTGATAAATTATACAAAAAGTTAAACTCGATTCTTGTTCAAGGGAAAAAATTAAAACAATTGTCAAGAGTTTAATTATAGTGTGTGTGATTGAGTGTTTCAATTTGGGTATGATATTTTGATAACAAAATCTGTCGTGAGTCAAAAAATAGTTTAAAAATCTCAAGTTATGTCCAAAAAGTTGGAGTGGCCATAAAATGCATAAATAAAAAAGAAAAAACTTGCATGGGTCAGTTCAGTTATTTTGGTAATTTAATTTAAGGAAAAAAATCTAAATGTATATTTTAACGCCTGTTGACTAATTAGCTTGAAAGATTTACCAAAGATTTTTTTTTCTGAAGTTTTAAAAAATAATTTAGTTCTCTCTTCATTTTCTTTTTTAAATTATTGCCACTATGGTGACCCAACGAAAACTTGCGAGTCAAATTTCCAGGAGTCAATTTGTTATTAATAACTAAACAGTTACACAATTTGAAACAGTGGAGTAATGGATAGCGACTCGGATTCCAGTCAAATCCATTACATTCACTTACGTGAAAGGTATGAATCCTCTTCTTCTCCCCCCCTCCCAGCTATGTGTAAATAGCAGGACAGATCGGGTTCTGTGGCCTTGGATGGCAACTGGTCCATCGCAGAAAGAAATGGCAACCTACTGCGGGGAAAAAAATTTGCCTCGTCAGTCATGTATCGAAATTGACTGATTCCAACATTCGCTTTTTTTTTTTTTTTGTTTTTTTTTTAATACAATTATTAAAAATACTTCCTTTTTATGCTCTCAGATATGCAGGGAAAGAATAGTGAGCAACAACAATTTTCGTTACACAAGCTGAAAACTTAAGCAAAGGCTAATAATAATAATAATCACCATCATCATCATCATCATCATCAAATTCTCCTACAGCAAACTAAAAAACAAGTTTATTTTCTTTTTTTTTTTTTTTTGCGTGTGTGCAAAGTAGAATTTGTTTCGTTTCGACCGTGTACATGTGATAAGATTGTATGATTTATTATCACGCATGTAATTCGGTGTAAACAGTTTTTAATAATACAAGTATGAAGTTTGTTTTTAAAACTTATCACTAAGTAGATTTTTTTCTTTCTTTTTGTTTTTCTTTTCTCACCGTCTCACTCATAATCAGCGTTACGATGCAAGGGAAATAACTCAGTATCTCTCACTTGGCTCGGACAAATGCGTGCGTGCAAAGTTCTGAAATGGTTTCATAACGGCAAAGACTTATTCTTTTAACTATATCTTACAAAAATGATCCACACTCTTATTAATAAGGTTTTATTTTTATTTTCTTCTTACTCTATTAAAATAATTATAGTCCTGGTGCTTTTTCGTCTAGCAACACTTCATTTTTAAACTTAAAGCAAAATTTTGCTAGTTTCCGTTTAAACAGTTTTAATAGAAAATTATGAAAAAATGTTTTAAATTGGTACCATCTGTTGTTTTTTTTTTCTTTTTACTATAAATTTGACCCTTTTAGAAATAATTTAAATTACCATATTTTTTTTTAAACTATTAATTTTCATATAAAAATATTCTGACATGAATGAACAGAAGAAAACTAATATTTAAATACAGTGTGACCCGGATATAAGAGAAACCCTGATATAAGAGAGATTTTCTCTGGTCCCAAATTAGAGCCTGTGTTAATGTATATAAAATAGACCAAACCCGGATATAAGAGACTTCTTTTCCGGTCCCGACAACTCTCTTATATCCGGGTTACACTGTATTTTAATTTGAATATTTTTCAAAATTATTTTGTATTATTTTTTTATTTTATCTTATTTTATTTTTTCAGGATTATTATCATTTTATCCATCGCTTTAAAACTATTTGTCATTTATAACGGATTTTCAATTTAAATCTAAAATTTGCATTTATCTTATTAATTTGTCTCATACAAAAAGAAATGATCATTCTCCCCATGACTTACTTAGATTTTAAAAACGATGTTTCTCCATGGTGCAACAGGACTATCATTTCTATATCAGGAGTAACCCAAACTTGTAGCCTTGTGCCAGACTAAGCTAAGCTTATATCAAAATATATTTTACTTATATTTTCCACCATTTAAATACCATAATTTACATTATTTACAATTTACATTCAGATGTCTCAGTCTTTGTTGTTGTTGTTGTCAGGTTTCCGTTGTCGTCTTCGTGTGTCTGTTGATCGAAGTAACCTCCAGTAAATTTAGAACTGGATCTTAATGTTCTGTTTGAAATTCATTTAGACGCAGGCTTTATTCAAATAAAGAGATCAGTTCGAAATTCACTGAAAGAAACGCTACTCAGATCGACAAGCACTTGAAAGTTGGGAGGACAAAACATCCGAGACCCAGTGATAATAACAAGAATCCGAATTTAAACAATAATGATAACAGAACTCCTTATCTCAGAAATTTAGATAGAAATTATGGTTATTGAGTTCTCAATGGATGTCTCTCATAGATGGCCTTGTACCAGGCCTAGCTAATCTTGACTATCTGCTAAGTAATCGATCAAATCATTATCAACATTTCTTATAGACAAAAATAAAATAAAAATAAAATTCACCTGAAGAATTCCAAGAAAAATATAAACTGAAAACATTGATTTTTGCCAGCTAACTTCATTTTAACAAGTTTTTAGTCCAGAGATTTTTTTTAAACCATGCAAGGCAATAAAGCCACTTAGACGCAAGGTGGCTTCTAAGAGTGAAAAAGAATAAAAAGATTTTTAGGTTTTAAGGAACCGGAAAGCTAATCTTAAATAGGGAGCAAATGATAAACTTCTACTCCTGTCCAGATGGGAAAAAAAAAGTTTAACAAGAAGATACAGACCTGTAGCCACCGTTAAAAATATAATCAAAACAACAAAGACAACGATATCCTTCACGGGGTAATGATTTTTATAACTTTTTTTACAGAATAAACTTCACCTGTCCGCGGGATCATGGGCAGATATTCTCAGTAGCATGCTCCCGTTGTAATAAATAAATAAATAATACTATATTTAGGTCATACATCGAGACGCCCCAATAGGGGTTTCTTCAGTTGCGTAGACGTCACATGGCACCACTATATGTTTCTGCAGTTTCCATCTGATACGGAATAATTAAGTGAAGTCTCACTCATTGTTTAGTATGAAGGAACTTATGACAAAATTGTTGTTCCGCGACAAAAATCTGATAAATAAATAAAACAAATAAATTAATTAAAAATAAATTAAAAAAATAATTATTTTTTGTTTTGTTTTTTTTGTATATTTTTGTAAACAAATTTACAAACGATATAAAAAAATGTTCTTTATTTATTGAAGTGTATTCGTTTTTCTTACAGGCAGATGAAAGTAATGGTACAATTCATAAGAGTAGCGTGCCAGGTAAGTTAATTATGCCTTTTTCTTTTTAAGTACTTTGACCTTTCAGGATATAGGCGATCGTGGCTCTCCATAGTTTCCCTTCTTTTATTATTTATAACTTGCCATGACTTCTTGGACATATGAAGGGGAAGTAAGTGCAGATTATTAGGATCTGTAAGATAGGTAACGGCTGGCCCTAGACTTAAAAAGGTTTAAGACAAGAAGAGTATAGAGATCAGAGAAGCAACAACACTCCGCCCCGCCCCCTACCAACCCAGGAGTCTGTTTCATAAAGTAGCTACTCTTGGAAAGAAGATGTCCAAATGGGACTTCTTCCTTACCAATGGAATACAAAAGGAATGAGAATGGTTTGACTCTGAGAGTATGGCATGATTAATTAAAAATATATTTGTAACCTTTTTTTTTTTATTTCATTGTTGAAGGTAAAAAAATGAATAAACTGTAAAATGTCACCCGACGCTAGAAGATATTTTTGCTATTTAAATCAATTTTGTAACCGAATTTGTGTGTGTCTGTGTGTTCTTTACATTGACTTTTTCGAATGTTTTTCTCCTTTTATTTTTATTAACACATTATAAAAAATATATTGACTGACTGTATTGACAGCAAGTGTGTTGTCCGCTGTTTCTGTTGTAGCTGTTAAGAGTTGAAAACTTTTAAAAAACATACCTGATTTTGTTCCCCTAAATAATAAAATCCATAACAATTTTTTTTTTATGCATCCATCACCATCTTTTTAAGGTGTGCATTTCCCTTCGTCTACATATCTTCAGAAAAATGTATCGATTGCTGTGTTAATCCACTAACCCGCTATTTATTTGAATATAGACAAAAAAACTCAGAATTCCCGCAGTTACAAATGATACTTAAAAAAAAAAAAATACTTAAAGAAAAAGACGCAAGCACCTATGAAATTTCTTCTTTTTCGCCGTCTTTTTTTCTTTTTTCCCTGGCTTTGTATTTTATTTAGCTTCACCTGTCTCTTCTTTTAGGTCTCATAGTAAAAGTCGACTTCCTTAGTTAAGTCATAGTATACTAAGATATTCTCACTAAACTAATCAACGAACCAGAAATACCTTGACTTCACTCACTCTCTGTCACCAACCCACAGCTACCATCAGCTTGGCTTTTCTTTTTTTTTTTTTTAGATTTTTATACATTTTTTTTTTTAAATTTTCTGACTTTACTAGTTCTGATTGAATATGTAAAGAAAAAATTAAATTAAAAAGAATACTATACTGAGTAAAGTCATTTTTTTTAAAATCTCCAACTTTAACTTTTAAATAAAGAACTACCTCACAACAAAAAAAAAAAAAAAAAACGCAGTAAAAAATACAAAAAGAAAAGAAACAGTGATTTCATCTGTTGAGTGTTGCTAATTTTGTCTCGAGAAGACAGTGACTACGAAGTTGTGAGATAAACATACCAATAAGTAACAAGGGCAGTGCAAGTAACAACTATAGGTAGAAGCGTTGCTATTTTCTCTGCATCTGTGAGTGAGGTGCTGAAAAGTTCTCAGCTCAACCAGAAGCATCTGCATCTTAATGAAAATGGTTAAAAAGATTAACATACCAAATACAAGACGTGAAATCAATGCACGTAACTGCATTTTATGTCTAAAATAAGCAAGGGGGTGAAAATTATATTACTTGCAAAATATTGCAATTGGCTGATGAGAGAATGCAACTAGTGAGATTATAAATTCTTTAACATCTGTTAAAACATTTAAATGGTTTGGTAATATCATATGTTTCGTTTCCAAGACTTTTTTTCCCTGTTTTCTTGTTTTTCAAAAATATTGCACCTAAAAATAAATAAATAAATAAAAAATTAAACTTTCGGCATAAATATCTAAGAGTTTATAGAAAGAATTAATAAGAAAAATGTTCTACTTTTAACATATATATTTATTTATTATTACTGTAACTGTTAAAGTGTTGGAATAGATAGACCTGTAGTTTATTTGTCTTTTTTTTTTTTATATAAGTGAAACTGACGTCTATCGGCCTGGGCAATCGAAAGTTGATTAAAGAAAATGTGCTTCTCGGCAGGGATCAAACCTGCATTCGGCCTAACCTGAAATAAAAAAAAAAAAAACACGTTTTTAAAATAGACATGCTGTTAACGACTCAACCACGAGATCTCTCCAAGCAAAGCAATGGGTCTGTCTAATAGTAAAAAAAAAAACATACAGAAAGTACATTTTGTGTTTTAAATATATTTTTCAAATCCAGTAAGACAGTACACAAATTACAACTCTATATATTTTCAGTGTGGTGTGGAGTAATTCAAAATACTACTCTACTAATTACAGGTGTCTATAAAACTTAGGTGTACAAAGATTCCTTTTAGAAGTGGAAAAAGTAGCCCTTTCAAGTCTGAACCTATCTTCACCAAGGTAAAAATAATACAATATCGAAATCCTTAGCACTGCTTAGAGCTGTATATCCGAACAATTCATGTCAGCTAGTCGAGTAAAGATCTCGAATCGTTAAACCATATTCCACTGAGCCTGCCTCGTGTAAGAAGAGATAGTTGTGGATTTCCCATGGCCGGCGTTCAGTCTCAGGAATTACAGCTAAAATCACCAATGCTGATTTTCAAAGTACACCTGCAGGAACGTCATGTCCATTTGGATTACTGCAACACTACCTTTCTCTGCTACTAGTCCCCTCCATTTAACTTTGTACTTAAAGTATACACACACACACAAGTTGTGTTAAAAATGTATGAAAGGTCTTATATATATATATATATATATATATATATATATATAAGGCGCGTGCCGTCAGTAATTACTTAAGGTAGGTAGCTTGTGACCTTTATGTAGTAAATCTACAAAAAAAAAAAAAAGAAGAATTTTTTGCATTTTATTCATAATTTCGTTGGAATAGGTGTGTATAGTGCCACATAAGGAAAACGTAGCTGCTGATCTATTTTATTCGGGGTAATCACTGCTAACCTTGCCTACCTAGAAGGCACGCCCTATATATATATATATATATATATATATATATATATAAATTTGAACATTAAAGTGTGAAACTGACAGTTACCATGTAGTGTTGATCCCTTTGTCTACACTGACTATATCTATAAATGCTCTTTCTTCGATATCGTGCACTCCTCCCTTATAACTAAATACACCAAATTTATACAATATATATTTATAAGATCTGCATTCACGCTAATTTCAGTCTTTACATTAATTTTAATCGATAGCAAACTCAAAACTGTTTAAGATTTTACTTTAAATAAAAAAAACGTTTTAGTCATTTTTATTTCTTTATTTTTTGTCAATGGACGAACCATAACAAAAACTTCCTGAAAATTAAAACTATGTTTTTTTTTGTTTTTTTTTTATCTATTTCAGAAAAGTTACTTTTGATGTAAGTTTCATGTAAATGTGTTTCGTAATAATATATATATTTAAAAAATTCTAATTTGGTGAAAAGATCTTGCAATCAGATTATTAATTTTGGAATTCCGTCAAAGAAAAAAAAAAAAAAAAGAAATTATTTTAAAAACCAAATTTTAAATTTTTTAATTCATTGAAGCTTACTTTCTGTGTCAAGCAGGTTTTACTTTTATCCAATTTATTCCTGGCAAGTCAAAGAGTCAAGTTCCATTACAAGAAGCTTAACATAATGACCTTTCAACCCCTTTACGCTATCCCACTTCCTGGTAGCCATAAATCTGTTAGTGTTTACATAATGTAAAAGTTGTTTGTTTTTTGCATTGCTATTCCGCACTAGCTTGACTTTCTTATTAAGTAAGCAACTTCTTATGTTATCTTATATTGGATCAGAAGCTGAGTTATCTACAGTCCACACGTGAGAGCCAGACCAGTGTTTGACATTAGACTTTTTGTCTAGGCCTTGCTCCAAGGAAATGGTGTTCCTGAATCCTGCTTAACACACTGCCGAATTATCTCCAACTAAAACTATTTTAACTGCCCAATAAGTTAAATCCCACCACATAGGAATGTTTTTCACATGCAATTGTTGAAAGAAAAATTGTTAAAAAGACAATTCCCTAGTCAAAGCAGATGATTTAAAAACATCAAACAAAAACGTATTTGTAATTTTATTGTTTAAGAATCCAATAAATAAACGTATAGCAAATGTAATGTTCTTGAAATAGGCATACCTAGATATTCCATATATTAGAAATAATCTTAGTTTGATGCTTCAGATTTTAAAAATATTCCTTTTTTACCATAATAAAAAGGAAATGCAAATATATACATCCTCACTTAATTGAACTAACAGAATGATTTGTAGCATTCCAAGACAATCAAGTATGAGTCTTTTCTCTTTCAAAAAAAAAAAAAAACATGATTTGAAAATAAGGGATTTAAAAAATTATAAACGTGTACAAATATGCAACTTTTTTTTCATTTCCTAATTTAATGAGTGTCTTAATTTTATTAAAAAACTTATCTTAGTCTGCATTGACTATGCTACATTTTCCTTTTTATATAACAGATATATAAAAAAAATACTTAAAATGTAACTGATTCAATATTATTAAATTTTGCCAATTTGGGAATATTATATTCCTTAATAGTAAAGTCGTTGATTTTTAAAGAGTCTTGGAAAAAAAAAACTATTTTCAACAAATAAGAATAATACACAATATCGTTCTGTAAAGAGTGGTTAAAAAAAAAAGACAATAATGAAACATTTGGTTTTATATACTCGAGGTTTGCTTTTCTAAAAGCAAAATCTCTCACTTTCAAACAAGACATGAAGACATTTAAATCATTCATTTCTGCTGCCATCTTTTTAAATGTTTGACTTATACAAGTCAAATTGACAAGTATTTTGTATCGATCTAATATTGAAATTAATCAACTCAAAGAAGAAAATTATAAAAGTAATCAGGAGGAATATCTGTGTAGTCGTGAAATTATATTTATTTATTATAATGAACCTTTATTTGGAAAAGAAATTATAATCATATCTTCATACCTTGTTAGTAGTTAGCAGTTTATAGTT